TTAAATATATTGTGTGCACGCTTTCTTGGCACGACATCCGGCACGACTCGTAATTTTCCACAAAAATGATAACAAATAAACCATTAAAAACGATCAGCAGCAAAAGCAGACACAGTAAAGACAGTTTCGTGTTAACTCACCACAGAACAGAAACGTGGCGAGCTCAATCGGAAACCAACGCATTTGTTGACAAAATAAGTTACTGCCGGAAGGGGGCGCTAGCACTGTGAACGTCGCCCAGCCAAGCAAATCATTCAGTTGATCTGACATTGTCTTCACCTACAACATCAACATTTTCAGTCGACATCGAGACAAACTAAATCTGGTGATCTTACTCTAATAATTAAGATTGCTATTAAATCGCGTTTAAAGATATTTGATATCAAATATAGATCATGTCCTCTAGGCAAAGTCTTATCAGACGCGAGCGGAGCTGATGTCGACCAATACTGTTACTTGTCATACATCGCCGCTGTTGAATTCGATTTTCAATATAACTAAGGGATTCGTTTGTTTATGTTACGTCGGACATGAATTTTCAAATATATATTTCAAACCTCGCTGTGTAACGGCAACATTACCCATTCGTCATGTTGAAACTGTTGGCGTGTTGCACTTTGTTCCATTAAACTGATTGAAATGGCTTACAAAAACCCCTGAAACGGACAACGCTCCGTTAATCAAGAGCAGAGCAACGTCTTTGGTCAAGTTGAATATTGGTATAGCAAGAAACCAGTTCTGATGAAATGAACAGTTACGTGTTATTTGAAATAGTGATATTGACTAGCAGTGAATGTACACTGGCTTACCACTACCGTAACACGTACTTATCATGGCGTGATATTTGTATTAATACGATCCCGTGAGTGGCATGCCACAACACGTGTAATTCCGTGAATTGTGCACGATTTAAAAGGCGAGTAGAAATATACTTTTCATCCCGAGTGAAATTGCGCGATACACTAGTAGCTCAAAAACAACGTTATGCTATACGACGTCGCTCATTTGACGCATATGGTAAGCGATGGCTGAGTTCTAGCGGGCATCTATTAAATCTTAGGTATTAAATAATAATGAACTCATTTTGATTTTACAAATTAATCTCCGCTGCAAAATAATGGCATATTCCCTTCAGAAGAGAAGGGGTTGGTTGCTGCTGCCTCGAATTACCATCGGCGGGGCTTTGCTTGTATGCGTGTTTTATCCAAACTTAGACGTCAGGACAATGCTCTTAAGAGTATGTGGAGACAACTCAACCCCAAAATGAATATTGTGATCCAATGCGCAATGACAGAAATCATTCAATTTCCGTGATTTGTTCCGCAGAGTGAATACACAGCAATTTTCTTCTATGGTGTCTCATGTCAGTTTAGTCCTTAAATCCGTGTTCTGAAGAGTAAAATAACATGTACATATTGATCGATTTTCACATCGTTGAACAGAATTATCTTATAACAAAGTGTAGTAGTAGATTTAAGCACATGAATCTTCGCGAAATAAATGAATTCATTGACTCATAGCGACCGGTGTTTATTATACGGTGACGATCGACACTCGTCCAGGAATGGATCGCGCTTGATGGATCGATTTGTTGCGTAAACGGACAGGAATTGACGAAAATCACCTGAAAAAGAAGCACCTTCCGTCACTGGCTAAGCGAATAAATGGATTTGTTTGCGTTTTGGGGTTTTACTGCAACCCGTAGAACGAAGCGGCTTGAGGTTGCTGTTGAATTCAGAAAGGCGGCCACTTTACGTACAAAAACTATCGCCACATTCTTTGGCATCTCGTCTGAGTGTCGATTTTAAACAAAAATTACATAACATTTTAGGTGGTAATAAAAGCGTTGTGAATGAAATTATATAACGTCATATCTTGATTTTTACCCTGATAACTGTACGCCTACGGGTCATACGGTGATTATGCCAAACGAATTGACCTTTGGAACACGTCTCTGACAGCAGGTATACGACACTCGATGAACCCTAAAAGGGGAGATTAATTTCAGATGTAAAACTGTCTGAATAAAAACAAAGAAGAAAAACAGTTGAAAGTAAAGGCCGCATTCTATTTTACAAATTTGAACATTATTGGTTTATCAAATGTTGTTTTCCACTTGGTGAAACAGCCCGGCACAACCGACAAACCGTTCTCTATTGTTCAACTGAATATTATGATCGATTCAGGTAATCTGACCATCTCGCTCTGTCTTCGCGAAAATAGGGGACGTTTTTTATTTGAACGGTTGTCGTTCTCAGACTGTGCCAATACATTGTTGGGATCGCTTGGCTGAGCAAAGGTATCCGATTTCTAGCCATATGTAGCCCGGCACTATCGGTTGAACTTGAGACCCCTGTTGAAGGTAAGGGAGGTGTGACACGTTCAAAACTCTGCAAAGTACTAACACGACGGAAAACAAAATAAACGCAGAGACAAGGTATCGTAATTACAAAAGCCCACAACAGCTATAACATTGCAGCTTAGTGGATGCACTTGATAAAGTAAACGGAAATGCTGACACAATACGGTGTAAGGCATTGTCGCATTGGTAGCAGTGGGAGTAAAACGCGAGTGCTAATGTTGGGTCATAGGTGCTACACGCAAGAATAAATGCAATATTTTTTTTTTATTTTTAGCAAGCCGCCCAATACCCCCTCAAGAGAGTGCATTAACTATATATAATTCTTTTATATTTTCCAGGAAGGTAGCTAAAATCAAATATTAATGAGTCACAAAATTAAATTCATACGTCTCATATGTTTAATATATATCTGATGACGGTGTCGCGCATTCGTAATCGGGACAACGGTCAACTCTGCAATCAGTGCAAGGCTGCGTCACTCGGCAGTTCGTATAGAGACATAATAGTCTTTAGAGACGTGTTTATTAAAAAGAAAACTATAGCGCCAGTTTTTGAGAAAAAATAAGCTATTGGTAAATGAAGTATAATACGGCAGTTTTTGAGTAATCAGCCAAATTAATCTATAAATTATTTAACAAAGGAGTGCTAATATGATTGTTTGCAAAGGGTGGCTGCACAATAGGTTATAGGACGGCTCCGAATAGAGACGGAATCAACTCATTTAACTGAGTAACTCTATCATCAATAAACGCACAGAAAGTTTTTAGCATACCCGCACTACATGGTTAGTTGTTTGAAAGCGATCTGATTTTCAGAAGACGTTGAGTTTTCATTTTTAAACTGTACACACTTTTTGGTGGCCAGAAAATGGACGCTGCCTGCTAAGTTGCTACATTTTGGGGGTATTTATTTAACCGATGACGTCACATCCCTGGCGTCGGAGTGGCGGCGTATTTAAATTAGCGAGACCATCAAAAGCCCACCGCACTATTACCCAATTATGTGACTGTCAATCGCGAGTGCGAGTGGAAACCCAAGCACTTCCCCCCTCTCCCCACGGCAAAATAGAACGTCGTAACTGCCTCCCCTTCTGCTGTTGCTCCATGAACTATCACAATACTACGGGGTCCAGTCAGTAGTTCCAGAGTACAGGTCGAAGTTGCAAGTTAAGAGGTCATGAAGTTCCTATTGATGTCTGGGCGTGTCGTAAAATAAAGAGTGTGTTGTATATATTTGTATTGAGAGGGGATAAGAATCTGTCCGACACGTGGATCGCCCCATTCACACCTTTTGATTGGCTTTAACCAATCATTTGATTGCAATCTACACGTTGACACAATCCACCAAGTAACGTCGACGAGCAGCAACGATAAAATTACGCCACACACACACACAGAAACTCGTTAAAAGTTCTCGATTTACCCTCGTTATCTGGAACCACTTTTCCTCCTCTACTACAGATCTGTTCACACGCATCGAACTACGAACACTATGTGTCAGGTTTAAATAAAAAGGAGTCTATATACTTGAGACGAAAGATAATATTTGTGATAAGAAAATCATATTGTGTTCAATTACATTGACCTCTTACACAGCAAATACAAGCCATTATCCCTGGAAACCAATACCTCCACTTCGCAGTTCTCTGGATGAATGAAATCTCCCGACTGGTACCACTTTGTAAACAATCAGAAATCATAGTACTTTCATTTATATGCAACACTTCCAGTAGAAAAGTTCTTAAAATAATTCTATGTGCATATCCAAGTAGTTTCACGTGAGAGTGGCAATCTATTACCGGGGATGGCAGTTGCCTGCTTTCTGTGATTGACAGACTGCATTTATAAATCACTGCTGTGCTTTGTTAACCAATCAGGGCGGGGCTTTCACGGGGCACGTCGGCCAAACGTCAAAATCAACATTCTAATAGAGCCCATGATTGGTCATTAGTAGATGCGTCGCGCCATGCTTGTCTGACTAAGCTTAGCCCACTGGCGCCAGCATTGCGGGAGAATGTACCGCAAAAGAGATGAGTAACAAACGCTTTCTTGTTTGCAGTTCATACATGAGGTGGGGAGTTTTCCTTCGCATTCGGTTGCCCACAACAGTGAGTTCAAGCCATTCTCCGACGATCTTGCAAGTCTCGTCGTTTTGCACCGACTATTTTGCTCTCCGTCTACACAGTCTGCCAGGCGCGTGTACCACTCGCATGCTTCTGTGTTTACGATAACTTCGCCGATGTAAACACAGTGCATAGTAGTTTGTCGCACGTTTAGAGAGAGAGAGGGAGAGTGAATAATTTACTCCGCTTATCGTGGCAATTATATCAGTGACTTTCAATACAAAGTTCAGAGGTACTTTTCCCGTTTCTGTAAATCAAACCTCCTAATCTATTGCTATTATTGCTCAAGTCAATTTATTTGCAAGTTTTTCTACAACTCGATGGTGTCATCAACTCTCGTAAATGGGCTGATCAGCTGCACCAAAACAGTGAATGAAATTCTTGAACATCGTGCATATTTACATATGCGCTGTGTGTTTTACTGGTTATTTCTACACGTCTGGGCCGGTGCGCTCACCCTCGTTAACTTATTCAGTTTCTTGTCCACTGATTTGTTTTTATTTCTCCTTCTTCCAGACTTTGAATCCTGTTATATATCCGAGCACATCGTGTTATTGTACTTCATACTGCCAACCGATCCAATCGGCTACTGAACTTGGTATTACGGTATATTACAGTTGTTGTTTCTTCCGCCACTACATATATAACTACTACCGGTTATTCACAGAAAATGGATGTATCACACTCAACGTCTGTGACCGAACACTCGCGGTGGATGCACTCTGTCATGAACGGCCAACACGACTCACACTCCGTGACAGCAGAGCGCATGCACGCAGCGCACGCCACGGGCCTGAATTTCGTGGAACCATCACAGTTGCTACCTCCCGATGAAGTGGACGTTTTCTTCCACCATCTTGACGGCAATGGAAATCCAGTTAACCCTGCAAGTTATTACGCTAGTCCAGCTGCTGCCAGAGCCGCCGTTCACAGTTACCGCCCCTCGCATCACGGTAAACACATTGTATATATCATTCTATACTTCAGCCAGTATCCCGTCATTGAGACGATGTGCCCTCTTTAACCAATTCAATGCGTGTCTGAGTCGAGTAATTATACGGCATCCGATTTTAAGTGGCCCGAATTTGAAAGGGCAATTTTATGTAATAATTTTGCAGATAAAGTTGTTCCATTGATAAAACACTGTCCATTTCCTGCAAGATAAGGGAGATTCATTTGGTGGTCGCTTGTGGAAGCGAAACCAGATCGTTCGAATTCTCTTCCTGTTTCCGCTGCCATGCTCGGTTCGTGACTGGCAGTGAGACGAGTAGCATAGTTTCCGGTGCTGATGCGTGACACCATCCTATTCTTATCAAACTTGAAACCATACACAGCTTTTGTTTGTCACAGATTAACATAATGTTTCCTATCTTCCCAGCAGCTAGAGTAAATGTACCGGGCAGTCAAGTGTGTAGACCACACTTCCATGCACCACCAATTCAGTGGACCAGTGGACACACAGCTTGGTGTGCCAATCCGTTCAGCAAATCGCCGCATCATTCCAATCCTAGTGGGCCGATCGCCGTGCATCCAGCCAACTCAATGTCTTCGTCATCCCACGCTCACACAAGTCCACATCTCTTCAATTTCCCACCGACACCACCGAAAGAGAGCACGCCAGACAATCTGACAGGGTCGGGAACCACTCTCTTAGCACTGGAGTACGGAAATCAGCTATCGGATGATAAATCCTCGAAATCCAGTTTAATTGGAGGCATGTCAGACAACATCATGAACAATTGTTCAACTGCCTCGTCGATGCCATCATCGATGTCAATGAGTTCTTCACACAGTGGTTTTACACAGGCCCATCCAATGCCAACTTACCCCGCGTACGTCACAAGTTCTGACTTCAGTAACTCGCTAAGCTTTCACCCCAGCGTTCTCAGTGCTAGAAACGTGAACTTCCCTTCATCTGCCCGACAAAGAACGAAAACTCGATCTAATTCTGGTAAGTGGGTTGATTCCATTACGATAAACCAAATGGTGCTCTTGATTAGTATTGTCTTACCGTTAACTTGTTTTCCATTTAATACTGTAAATACAAGTGTGGGTTGTTATTGTTGTAATGGCGATTTGCCTGATAACTGCATTACCATTCCCATTGTTACACACCGCTTCCGGGAAAACGTCCTTCTCGTTGACTTTTCACCTCATATAGGATCTGTAATTTAACAAGAACAAAATACTTGTTGGTAATTTGTACGTGTACACCTATATATCCAAGTACACGTGTTGTATGGTGTACAGGTAGGTAAACGTGATGTGACTCATACAGAAGATGTGACAATCAGTGCGAGTTCGTTCCGCATATTCATCACTGCTACCACTTGAGAGTTAGCTTAAAATTGGCGTTATTGATGAGAATAACACCGGGGATAGTGGAACCCATATATCCAGCTAGTAAATTTAATTACAACGCAGATACGATCTGTACACAGTAGAAGGCGTTAACATATTATTAAATTTGTCACGCGTTTGTACGTATGTGTGAATTACCTTGTCACCGTGAACGCAACTACTTCACACCTTAACTATTGGCACACTTTCGAATATTGTTGTTTTTCGCAGCCCTAATTTGACATGTAAGAATATTCAAGCGATGACCCTATTATATACGAGCTGAAATGAGTTCTATGCCTCTTCCAACAGTCAAATTACGCTTTGCGGCTGTGGCCGGGGAGAGGAAAAAAATACCTGTCTGGTTCGCTGCTATTCCATATTTGAAAAGCTTAACACGATTCGGAGTACCTACAGTTGTTTTAATCATCGAAAACAGTAAAACGTGTTTAGTTGTTGCACTTGTCAGTCTGAGTTAGTTTGTTAGTTAGTTTGTGTTGTTGAAACTATGCGACTCGTGTTTCGAGATCAGTTCGCACCCACAACAAATTGAACGATTGCCGTTTACTAAATAGTTGGCAATGTGTCATTGTGTATCTGGAAATTTATAAATCAAAATAAATAGGATTTCGCATTGTTGGGCATGTTAGTTGATAACGACTAAACAACGTCGTTGTTTCAAGTGCCCAATTGTGAACGCCATTCAATCCGTGAGTGTTCTGACACTCACAGAAAAAACAAATCTTACGCCGAACGTAATTTTTAAATCTCGATGGGGAAAGTGTGCGCCGTGCACAATCAACGAATCGTTTCATATCGTGCCATCACAGGAGTAGATTTTAGTCTCACTGTTGTATCGGGTGTTTGGAATGCAGCAGGCAGCTGGATGAAGGGTTGATACAATGAGACATAGAGACGGCACTTGGGTCGGCAAGACGAGTAGAAGTTTTCCATCTGGCGTGAAAGTGTTTTTGCATGCCCCGTTTCAAATCTTCCTATAATTTTCCGCTAGCGGATTAGGGTGATTTCATAACAACCACCCTATTCATTAGAATTTAGTGGCGGCACCACGGCTTATCTAACGGCCGTCACGGTTTTTGGCGTAATATGATTGCATAATTGTCAGACATCACGTCAAGCATTGTCTCCAACTGTATTCATGTTCTTAACTACTAGTATTATACTAATGTGCTGCTGTCTTCGATGGTCTTCGAACGCCTGTTTTCGATAATTTCGAGTATATTTTTAGCATTAGATAGTATATTTGATAATTCCAAGAAGGGGAAATGAAAAAATATGCTTTCGTTCAGGGGAAACCATTGCTTACCGAAACGGGTCAGTAACGATGATTTTTTATCCTTTTTTGTAGAGGGTCGTGAGTGTGTGAATTGTGGGGCAACATCCACTCCGTTATGGAGACGAGATGGCACTGGTCACTATCTCTGCAACGCATGTGGATTATACCACAAGATGAACGGTCAAAATAGGCCATTGATCAAACCAAAACGAAGATTGGTAAGTCGATTTTTTTTTCTAAATTTCTCTCCGTTTTTTCTCACTTTTCTTAGATGAGAGAAGTCCAAGTGGGCAGACAGATGGCTATTGCTATGCTGGAAAATCATTTTGTTCTAAAAAGCGAAAGGTAAATTATATCTGAGACAATACTTTGAACCGATCACGAACAATAACAAGAACAGCATCTTCTCAAGTTGCTCTCTGTTACTGAAAAAGACAGATTTGCGTAAAAAATGTTGATTACCAAAAGAAAAATGAAAAACGACTTGACAACCAGCCCAATAATAGTTTATTAATCATATTTTGTCAATGAGCTGCTATTTTGTTGCTAAGCTCTCACCTCCCTGCTTTTCTGAGATGCCACAGTCTTGTTTTTTTGACAAGCACGGCGATTTTAGCTGTGATGTTCCACGTTACGCATCCGACTCTGACATCGGAGACAGTCCCATGAAACCTCTCAATTCTCATAGGACCCGTAAAGTGGAATGTTTCGAAGAATGGCGCTCTGATATACGAAACTAACGACACCTCGGGCAAAACGTTAACTTTTTTGCTACTTCTATGAGCTTACTATTACAAATATAACGTTCGGCATAACTTGTAAATTGTGTTGAGGTAGAAACACACTGTTTTACTTGTTAAAAATTCTTCTACATGCACGAACCTGTGTTCTAAACCGAGTTGTACGCACTTCGCTTTCAACCAGACAGACTTTCGGCGCCTCCGCTCAAGTGATTTTGAGTTAACCCCTTTTATAGTAAATTTTTAGTGAAGTTTTCAGTGAGTTGATGTGCCAAAACTGACAAGTTTTCAAGGGGGCAATAATTCGTCATCTAGGGGGTGATCCGTGTCAAACCCCACTTGATCTTTTGTTGCTTATGCCTACTCGATATTCGCAGTCATTTGGAAATGCACTCATATTTGCCTTGTTAACATATTCGTCCAATGTAGTTAGGCTGAACAAAATCCTTGTATTTTAGCCGCTTTGCTTTTAACGGCCACTCTTTTAACAGGCTCGTTTTAGTGGTCATTCTCTGCCTTTTATAGTCGGAACAAACACTTCATCCAGTCTTTTGTTTGGGGTAAACCAGATCATTAACTTAATGCGGCTACCGTGCCACACAAGATAAGCAGGATTAGTTTCACACTGAATTTACCCAATTGCAAACCAATGCACAAGCCCCTCGGAAAATATTTGACTTTGGTGCTAAAATAAAATATGAAAAAGTACACATATTAAACTGAGAACATTATGTTACGTCTTGTGTGGGTATATCTGTGAATCAGGCCTCCGATCTATTGGGGCGTCCGCATCACCTCCGGCTGGCGCCATTTTGTTATTTTTACTAATAAGTCGGACATGCGTCTCATCAACATACGTACGATACGGTGTATTATTGCAGTGGAATACGTGTTTATTTCAGGCTGGAGCAACAATCGTTAATCCACTTGGAAAATAAAACGTTAAATTGATTTAATAATTCACAGAAATTGGAGGATAATGTCTGGGGTTGATGCTGCGCGTCACTGCTTGCCTCAAGAAATAGTGTGGGTGTTTTTTTCATGTCCCCCGTGGATGTCCAAGACGTCTGTTGGATTCTTTCACGCTACCATATCAATAGGCAGTGATTGAGTGTGCGTTATAGGTTCACATACGTGCAAAAGAGATCCACTTACAACTCTTGAAATTCAAAACGCCGTATCTGAAGTGTTTTGTGTTAGCTGGGAATAAGTTTGGAGCGCCTGTGAATTCTCAGTGTCAAGCTCGTGTCCACTGACACGTTTTCTTTTCTCTTCTTGTTTGAAAATAAGGATCAATAATAAAACATTTTCTGTATTCAAATATGTGTTGCTTTCTTTTTAACAGTCTGCTGCACGGAGAGCGGGAACAAGCTGTGCGAACTGCCAAGCAACGCAAACCACGCTATGGAGACGAAACGCCAATGGAGATCCCGTGTGCAATGCTTGTGGGCTTTACTACAAGCTTCATGGGGTAAGTTTTACGATGATATCGATATCCCCACTTGAGCTCGTTGACAGTCAAATTAAAGCTCTCTTTGTCGACCCATTGAGTCATATGCTCCTACACTTTGTAGCTTATTTGACCTTTGTTACTCCCGTCGTAGTTAAAATATTTTGATTTGTCGCCAAGTACATGATTATAGTTTATAAACTGAGTAAAGAAGTGGGAACTACGTAAAATATAGTGTGCCTTAACTCCGTCGTTTTGTCTTCGTGGTGTAAGGAACAAAACTGCTGAGTTCAATTGTATTTGTTCGGAATATATGGTTGGAGTGGTCAATACTGTCACTACCGCAGCCAATAAATCGCCGCGATACGCAATAGAAATGATAGGAAAACATGTGTTTAGTTTGAAAGTTTCCGAGTTAAGTTTCCAGTCTATGTATTCTTTAGTTCGATGAACGTGCTTTCTTCGAGAATTCTAAAGTGGCGTCCTGTATAGTCTAATGGGTTCTGCACTTGTTACGCCCAACACGGCGAGACTGGCCAGACGAGCCAGTGCACTCGGCCAAACGATATGCCGTCGAGAGTTTGTCTCAAAGAATTTGTTGTTTGACAAATTAGCCGAGTACAAACAACTTTTAGGTAGACTTTCAAGCTATTCTGTGCAGAGCGACTTAAAACTTCTTTGTGCCATTCTTGCTATTCTGTTTTCAGCAAGCACATACAAACACTGACGTTTGCTCAAAGTATTTGTATTGTTATGTACGACTACGTCGGGGGGAGTGGGTGTGTGATCTGGATAGGGTGCCTGGGTTGAAGAACAGCCTCCCTGTCGTCGCCACCACGATCAAAATGAAAAGTAACCTCTATAGGATGATTTTTTTCATGAAACGCGTTCCCAGACTTCTTGGCTCGTTGTAAAAACCTTTACATGCTTGATTAAGTTTCAATACTCCACTTCGATGATCCTGCCAAGCGAGCTTTGGAGATGACAGAGTAGCAGGCACCACAGCACCCTCCGCTAAAAAATATACATTGTTCTAGTTTGTTCTCGATTCTTTGCGAAATAAATGATCACATACTCATTGCATACTCATGAATCGATCGCGTCAACCATACTTCTTATCCCTGATAACACAAAATCGATAGGTTGTACATTTCGCGGGAAACCACAAGACAAGTTGGTGAAATTTGACATCGATGCCATAGAGTAGTTGGGGATATATTTATACTGCGAGTGTGGGCGAGATGGACCACATTCCACGCTACGGCAAAAACATACATCACTACTCGTATTGTCTTACAAGTGATCGGCGCCAGTGTAATTTAATTAATCAATTCACACCCGTCTGCGCATGAATAGAAGCAACGTCAGACGTATTTATTTATCCAACTATTACCCGGTGTTAATTCATTAGCACGTTCGATTGTAATTTGCATAATAATTACCCAACCATTAGCCCGCCCCAACGACTCGATTTGTCTTGTTACGGGCGCGTGGTATTGAGATAAAGATCACTGTGCTATATGCACTAACGTTAGATGTATATCTTATCTGCTTATCGAAGCATGTCCAAATACCTAGTTTATTTTTCTCGCCTGTGTGTTTTTATGAGACAGCTATATCTCAGATTGAGCGATTTTCATTTTGGGATGTTTACTACCAGTGTACGTAGTGTGTTTGGACATGGACATATCGCGGGGCCAATAAGCAAATTGTTATCGCTCTCATCGTCTTTAGATCGTTATTTAATAGATATTTGTATACCTTAGGTAATGTTGATAGTCCTTCTACCCCCCCCGGCTTCTACCATGGAGCTAAAAAAGATCTAGCTCCATCCTTCCACCAATCGCCACACATTCGTGTTTGTCAGTATAAACGTGGCGTGAAGAAACAATGACAAAGTCCTTGCAGCCGAAACTGACATTTTTACTGGCTTTCATTTTCGCCGGAAGTGAAATCCGGTAAATTAAATCCACGTTAAAAATGTAAAATAAACAATACAACACACTGTTTCCTTGGCAAATTCGTAAACTCAAAAACCCAATAAATATATTTAACATTCAAAGAAAATTAAAAAAAATAATCGAGACCTAGAATGCAAATTCAAATATAAAACAATATATATAATAGAAACATCAAGTGATTACAAACAAAAATGAAACTATTTCAGTTATTAGTTTGCCATGAATATATAAAACAATGAACAAACCCGGAATTGGGCATTTAACTCTGAACATAATCATGAGGACACATTAATAAAAATAACTTTCATACACGTCACTGTATTATCAAACATTTGACCCATAATGGCTGTTTATGATCTTGGCCAGGTTGTCTATGGATGAAAATAAATAACAACTACACAGTTCATAAATCAAAGTTAGACAAAAGAAAAAAACTTGTTCATAGCCTTTGTCCGTGTGCATTTTTTGCGAGATTAGTTTAAACAATTCACACGCCAAATAATAGAAAATATTACTATGTTCAAAATAACATCCAATGAGAGTGAAATTCTCGCACTGTACAACACTGTTCATTTCTAAAAATAGCCCCCACAGTTTTTACCGTATTTGCAGGTTGTCGTGAGAAGTTGGGAGTTCTTATCTCGCCAAACGCACATTTCCGGTTTTAAATAATTATCCCTTGTATGCAACACGTAGAGCGGAAAGAGACTCGTGTCTGGTTGGTGACCCACTGACATGCAGTGACATCAAAGCAAAATATAAAAAGACAAGCATCCTTTATCCGGCATCAACGAAATAGGATTTAAGCATAATTGTCTAGAAATAACGTGACACTGAATGTGTTGGCAACATGTTATTGACAATAGGAAATGGGGGCATGTCTGTTTCCTCTTCCCGTCTCGTAGTTCTTGCATACGAAATAAATGGCACTGCTAAATATTTTAACAGATTCAAAAATCAAGTTTTGAGATGGAATACCGTTCAATTAAAAAAATGATGTAATATAATGCAAAAAACCACGAAATATTAGCACATTTGGAAAAATTTATAACCGTAAATGTCGTTATTTCTCAAAATGTATAATGCGTGTCAAATGCCTGTGCATATAGAAGTCAAAGTGAGATTTCAAGAGAAAACCACTTAACTAGTGGATTGTCCGATCACTTGGAAAATTCGATTCGTGAGCTAAATAAATGCACTATTGGATATTTACAGACACACAATACATCGTGATGCCCCGAGTTGATTTAATTTGTGTTTATATCGTATGTTAACATATATAAACTGAATTGGACATGAGTGCTTATTGATTTTTTTTGTTGGTTTATTCACAGGTGAACAGGCCCTTAACCATGAAGAAAGACGGCATCCAGACTAGAAATAGAAAGCTGTCGACCAAATCGAAGAAGAACAAGAACAAACACGCAATGGATGATCCCCTCAAAGCAGGAGAATCTGTCATGAAACAAGCCGCGTTTGGAGCACCACAGAGTTCTCCCTATCACCATCATCACCACCATCACCACCACCAATCACCCGGCATGGTCAAATCGGAAGACTACCACAGCGGCATGAGTGCTCTCCATTCTTACCAGTCAACGGCAAGCAGCATGTGCGCACCCCTGGTGCCACCACCGACGGCTCACATGGCCGTGCCGTCCAGCTTGTCACTGTGCCCGCCGACAACCAGTATGGTAGGAGCTATGGCCTGAATTAGACTTTCAGAAAAGCTGGTCTCCTGGGCGGAGGATTGAGATGGCTGGCGGCACTATGCGTTTGCATAACCAATAACAGAGTGATTTAATGTATAAAAGCAATCAGAGGCAGTACCCATGGAGACTGTAGCTAGGGAGGATGAAGAATAGTGTACTTGGATTGACTAAAATATCTTAAAGGAGTTGAACAATGTACTGCTGATATGTGTAATTGCTCTTTTAAGCACAGACAGTGTGGTGAACATCAATGTATATTACTAGTATACCCATTTTAGGGAATGTAGTTACTGCACACCGCGTAGTTCATCAACTCATCTTTATAGAAGACACCTTTTAAAAACAAATAAAGATAGACATCAGCTATATGAGACTTTCAAGAGATTTAATATATATACATATATATATATATAGGGCGAGGGAAGAAGAAGAGTGAGAATTGAAAGACAATTGAAAGGACATCGAATAATACATTGCATATGCCTGCCAGATTCGCATAATGTGCTAAAGTTCTCAGCTCAATGCCTCGTATGCTGGAGTAGTGGGTCTTATATGATTTGCATTGGTGGTCATCAGGGAGCTGATTTGCAATGGCAGACGATTCGGGAGTCGACCCTTCACCCCCGGTGTCGAGAGTGGTCATGCTCCTTCATGTTCAGTGTTAGCACGTCGTTTGCAGGTCTTTGAGGACATTAACGGACATAATTTCGCGACTAAATATTTTAAGACAATGCTCACTGGCCGAGCTTGTATTATATACGTTTTAATCACGACTAGACCCATTGGTTGTCATGCCAACCAGTTATCATCTAGATTCAGCACTTAAAGTGTTTTATTCTTTTTCCCTCCCCTTTTTTATCTGCTGTACTTAACACATCTAGAATTATATTTAAGCGTCATTTAAATTTAAAGATAGATTTATATTTCAGAATCTCTTTAAATAAGTGCATATTTATTCCACCATGTTTCATTTTTTAACTTAATACTGCCTCATGAAAGAAAGACTGACATTTTACACTGTTTTGTCAATTTTTATCGGTTCTTTTGTTAGATTTCTATTTGCAGTAAAAAGCTATTTTTATTTGTGCCAATGAGTTATGTGTCCAAGTTTGGCTTGGGCCCATATTGCCTGCTTGTTGTAAATACACGTGCGTTTAATTAATAAGTATATTATTCACTGTTATTACCGGTAGTAGCAAGAAAAATAAAAAAGAGTACAATGCTTAGTAACTATATTTACTTGCTCGTGGTTCCATTTAAAAAAAATAATCGGTGGAACCAAAAGAAACGTTCATATTTAAATTTTCTTCGATTTTTATAATGAAAAGAAGATAACCTGTTACAGTGTTCATTTTTTCTTGTAGATGTAAGATTTCTCCGGTTCGTAAGAATTCACACACATCTTTTCACACACATTTGAACAAGTAGAGCTCGACGTCTTTATTTCATGATTACTGATGATGAAATGTGAGAAGAAGGTTTATTTAAATTATCGGTGCAATATATACAAATGGATGACCGCATTGGCGTTTTTTCATGAAATGTTATCGTTTCAATCAATGTTCATTGGTGAAACGTACAACTCCTTGGTTGATCTCTATTAATCCGTGTGCATTTCACATTAAGAAGTGGTAAATGTTTTCTTTTTATGTGTATCTTCAGAAAATAGAGAACAACCGTGAAATGACCCTTATTTTTTGTCTGTACATGTTGTACAAATTATATTGTCTATTAAAATGTGACACTTGAAAAAAACAAACTTTTGCAGAAATATTATTTGAAGTGTTATGTCGATGATGTTGTAATATGATTGTGGTTGATATCAGCACGCGACGCTGACATAGTGACAATTCTCGTACCTTCACGCGAGATGCCAAACCCCGTGACACACGGTTGAATAGTACTTGTTTCAATGTTTCACAATTAGTAGCCATGATCTAGCTCACTGCTTGCATCGGAATTTGCGATCACACAACAAAATATTATGAACTTCTTGTTCCTTTTGATGAGCAGTGTACAAATGAACTGTTTTACCGATGGAATAATTTCTTCCGTGTTGTCGCTGCCTGAAACTGCGTTATTAAAGTACATTAGTAAACTTGTCTCGCCCAAACAACAGCGTTTCGCCATTCGCTCCAACTCTTGTCAATTTCAAAAATGTTGTGTATCGTATTACAAATATAATTAATTAAGTTTAAGTTAATAAGTCTACATATATAAAGTAATTTATTGAGTGAAATGCCAATCGTCTATAGTAAATACACACATGTGCTATCCAATATTTATCGTATGTTTGCTATTAATTCAGTGTGTCCCCGTGTTATAATAACACTTCATATAGATGGTCTCGTGTACCATGTTACGGCACGTAATCTTTATATGGATCTTTCAGCTCGGATATTTCCAAATCTCCGACGAGACATTGTTCAACTTTATTTAAATTATATCTAATACGACATTGTTTTGCGACCTCATTTGCATTCATTTCCCTAATTATTCACGTTACCAATGCATTGACATGTATGAATTCGTTGCGAACTCCCAAGCAGACACACATAGTTACATAATTTTTCAATGCGCTTCCACACTTTGGAACTAAGATATTCCCCTTTTTAGTTAACTTGATGTCAGATTGTGGGCCATAGTGTAGTGATTATTCGCCAAGCAATTCAATTCAATGAGTGTATTGCTAACAAAAAAACAAAACAGAATGTTCATTACATAGCACTTTTATTGTAATCTCAAGTGGAATGTCAAATTCAGCGAATAATTTAGTGTATTGTTTGTCAATACATTGATACTACATTTCACATCACCATGGGAGAATACTTCATTGAAAACAGACTGCCTCGGATGTTGGCAAATTTCTGCACAGCTCCGTGTTTTCGTGGACTTGGTACATGTATTTACGACCCCATCTCCACCCCGTGCAGTGTGGATCGATGATACTACTGCTTAAACGAGTGCGTGAAACAAAAGCAAATACATATCATTCGAGAACAATTGGATGTTGCATGATGCGTTGCAACAAATCATGTACCAGACCAACCGACTGAAATAACCTGAAGAAGATTTCTACACCGCACCCGACATGTGAACATCATCAACATCGGGAGTGTCAAACTATGGATGTGGTAGGTTAAACATCAGTATCACGGTGGCGGGGCTGGAACGCCCATCTTACAAAGCCTGTCGCGATCAACGATAATAAACGCAATTTCAATAATCACCGACTAATGTTGGATAAACGCGTATTATTCGTGCCACCTGCCTGATTCCACTGTAATAGACATGCATCAGCTGTTGTCTATTTCATATTCAAACGTTTCCTTTCCCCCCTCAATAAAACTCTTGCCAGTGTCAGGGAATCCAATAAACGGGGATTTGTATACACTCGTTAGCAAAATGATAAATGACATGATATTACCACTTTGGAAAATTAACTGTGGCATTCTGTGCGTTTTCCCTGACGACTGATGAGGCACAGCGGAGTTGCTCTTTGCTCAATAACTGGGACGCCACGTTATCCTTGGGTGTTTTAAAACCTCGTTAGCGTTAAAATTAAATCCATGTACAAAAGAATGTCGGTTCTATTATTGTGATTTTCACAATCTGAATCTAATGGATCTGCTTAATTTAGTAATATTGACAGTTAACAATAGAATAGTCCCGAGTTTCTTACAACGATCCAGTCTTCTGTTCAACAAACCAAAACAAGTGCGCTATTGTTAAATGCGCCTAGTCGTTATGAAGGTATAAATAGTAGGTGTAGATCGTATAGTTCCAACGACCAAACATACTATTTTCACAATAATCCAACAAAGCTAACACGGTGGATGGATATTGATATATTATAAAGTTTCAACATACAACGATATTCAAGAGATTCTAAAAAAAAAAACGTGTACTACGTCGCCCGTGATTAAAATCCACCTTGTGTTCGACAAGTAGTATGGAGGTATATTAGTCACTCATCCTACACGAGTATACTGACCTGGCCTTGTCATTCTAGAGGTACCTTTTTATTATAACCGTGTATTGCGGGACTTTTTAGAGATTGATATGACTCGCCCTTCCACGTGTACTGTAAAGTGGTCGCTGTATGCACGGGGAACAACACTGGGAATAATACCCGAAACAGCTGAGAAAGCAGGTCGACAATGCAAATTACAGATGTATCGGCAAAATGTCTTTTTTAATCCATGATGGCATGATTGCCGGCTACGAAATTACTATATATTCAGAGTAAAATGCCATTATAGTGGCGACGAGGTTTCCAGATCGATAGTAACGTTGGCTTTTTGATTTTTTATTAGTCTGTGGAATAAATATGGGGTTACCGCAGAAACCTTACACCAGTAACAACAGAACCGAATTGTATCGAGCGAGTTCTCCTTAAAGTAATATAATAACATGAAATGTATACACCAGTAAAGAACTACAATTCCAGGCGATGATAAAATTTAGAAGTATGCCTGAAATAAGAGAACACATCGATGTGATGAACCTAGATATTATTAAAACGAGTGACTGTTTCTTTATAATTTACGATTAGCGATTACTGTCGTTTAATTAACGATATGGAAAAGAAGAATGAGACTCGAACTAGCACATGCCAACCTGTACATAGATAAAAAAAAAATATTATATATAAATGTATATATATAAATCATACAAGACGCCTACACAAACACTAAATTTGTTAGTTTACAAATAAAAAAAAAAAACATTTGAAAAAAAATAAACATAATAATGAAATAATATGAACCAATTTCAAAACGAGCCAATGTATTACTTAGTCCGATTAATTGATATGAAAGTTGGCACGAACGTACAAATAGATCATTCATGTAGCAATTCGTAATGGAAATAAAAATGTCCCCATTATAATCATCTGTATGGGAAAAAAACTTATAAATATAACATAATATAAATACAGATAACAAAATATGATCTTTATATCCAACTTTAACGGCGTTAATTTGCCAATCTCTACTCACTACTGCATTTGTTCTATTTCCTCGCTCATATAAACAAACGTCACGGCAAAATGGCTGCTCTCACCTTTCTTGACTGGTGCCTGGAAGGACATGGGAAAAATGAATATATCATAAGATAACAATATCGGGAGCAATTGTGAAATTGCCATTTGAGCTCTGCCATTCAGCATTTGAATCATTTATACAAATTCTAGAATAAATGTTATCTACGAAACTACAAGTGGGTCGAGCCCTTGGCTCTTATCTTCAATGCACTCTATTCAAAACAAAAAAAGATATGACGCGGCCTCCAACTACACGTATCGATCTTACATATCCCCGGGAAAGAAACAGATCATTTCAACTTCGCACGGGGTAAATAACTTATACTAGAACAGCCAAATACACGTATACATGCTTATGTGAGTAAAATTTTGTTTTCACGAATATTAATCATTTCTATCAGCAACTTCGATTATTGATTTATTCCAATTTGTCGATCAATTAAACAGTTACTAAGCATGATAAAGAAAAATATATAGGAGCATGTGCACGCATAATTGGGGTTATATTAACGCTACTATTACTCCTCTTGTTGATAGTGGTCATGTAGTGTTTATTACCCTTATCTAAGTTAATGTAGATTATTTGCACCTGATTTGCATATTATTGGAATACCAAAAATAGTTCGACATATGTCCGAATTGATGCAATGATTTGTCGTAAAGGAATCGCCTGTCAATTTGTGAACGGTGTTTACATGAATCATTTCCTCGTTTGTTATGAATATATGTATTTATATTATTGATATTCACACTTCAGATGTACTGTTACAGTAATGGATCATATGCAGCCGGCGATATCGTCACAGTTGGGTGTACATATGATTATCAATATAGACGGTTGATATTGAACATTACACAATCACCAAATCTGACTACGGAGATGCATAGATTTACTTGCTGTACGTAATTGATTGATTAATTAATTAATTACGTTCGCGCTCTTGTGATTTGTTCATTAACATGTATATGTCACCGTTCGAATATCGCTCGAAACATTAGTTCAGAAAAAAATGCACCGTGAAGACCACCACCGTTTTTAGATGATCTTTATCGATTGACGAACCAACAACTTGTTCGATTATAGATTATGATGGATATTAAAACAGATAATCTTGATTTCAGTCGATTAATATCTCGGTATGTGCTTGCGCTACTGTGCTATGCCATGATGTAATAGGATTATACTGCACGACAGACGCCTTTATTTGAGACGCCATTGTTTGAGCAGTCAATTAAGATTGCCGTGTTTTTGATTGAATTATTGATTACAGAAAGACAAAAAAGAAAATAAAAGAAATGGGAAGACCAAAACTATTCTGTGATTAGATTTTAAAAAACACATGTGTTTCTATTTTTGTAAAAATTGTATGATAATAATGGATTGAAATATATGTTAACTGTTCTCTTTATAGCGTGTTTTCCTGTGTCTGTGTGGCTTAACAAGATTGGGTGTACACCACAGTGTCTACAAACCAGTGGTTTTACAAAAACAAACTAGTGAACGTCTAATCATCATCGGATGAGATGATACCGATCTGTAAAAAACACGTAATCAAGTATGTTGTCATTTCACTATATCTGTACAGCCGTCATAATGTATTTGTACGACTTCTAACGAGTTTAACTCGATGTAAAATATACGCGTGACTATATAAAATCCGTCAATCGGAGATAGAATGACAGTTATTGACACACTTGGTTTTTGACCAGC